CCATTGAAAAGCATGCCAGGCATTGGACAGACGCTGATATACTTGTCTTTAACACTTACCTTTGGTGGAGACGACCTAAAATGGAAGTCTTGTAAGTACTAAACAAAAATTTCTTCCTAAACTAGTTCGACTATACATATCAGATTTGATCCGATCATTAATCAGGTCAAAGAACAATATGATCATGGGTTCGCCTTTTGAATTAAAGGTCACTAGTTCAACTAGCAAGCCATTGTAGTGACTGACGTGGCCTTGTGCTTTGACTAGGTTAATGATTAGAGTGAATCCAATAAATATGACAATTCACATAGCAAAAAATGCTCACACAATTTGGTGGAAAAAAAATGCAATCAGATATTTCTAGATATGATCTCCCGCCCCCAGTGGACTGTTACAGAGAACCGGAAGTAAGGTTTTCTTGCCATATCAGCAGTGGAAAGTTTTATCCTGCCCATTGGAGATCAAATCTATAGATTTTATTGAGGATGTAAAGTTTCATTACTTTTTCTCAGGTGGGGTTCATTCAACAAATCCGATGGAATCTACAAAAAAATAGATATGTTACGTAGTTATGAAATGGCTCTAAGGACATGGTCTGACTGGTTGGAAATTCATGTTAACCGGACTAAAACTCAATTATTTTTCATGAGCATGTCACCTACTCATGAGAGGTACAACACAATAAACTAATTCTTATTTCCAACAAATTTGAGGTAAATTCTCTCGAATACCACCGATAATAGCATTATTTTTGTTTTAATGAAATGGCAGAGCAGAAGAATGGGGCAAATCCAAAGGAGGAAATTGTTATACTGAAGCAGAAGCAATATTCAAAGAGGGATACCGGGGAAGTGGAACAGATCCCAAGATGATGCAAATAGTTGAAGTCACAATTAATGAACTTCTAAAAAGAGGCTTAAAGGTACAAATAATGAACATAACACAGCTCTCGGAGTACAGAAAAGACGGACACCCTTCAATTTATAGGAAACAATGGGAACCTTTGACGGAAGAACAAATATCTAATCCCCTTAGTTATGCAGATTGTATACATTGGTGTCTCCCTGGAGTTCCTGATGTTTGGAATCATCTTATGTATGCTTATATTCTTAACTATGGACCAACTTGAGTTGATGATCATATGTTGGTTCAACTTTAAAATGTAAAGTTTGTCGTACATATTTCCCTGACTAGGGTATGCTTGTTATGTACACCACAACAAGGTTGCACATATTTTAACTGTACTTTCTTCTTTAACAATGTCGAGTGTTGTCTAGGTCAGTATCCAAGATATACCTAAAGTAGTTTGTGAATATAAGGTTGCATGTTGGAGTAGACAAGTTCTCCTAAGAAACAGAAGGGAAGGGAAAAAATTGAATCGACTACGAATCTAACAAGATGGACATTCAGATTATAAAAAAGAAAGTGCCCCGGGGCATAACCCAGTAGTACAAAGGACAGGAGTTAGGTAGTATCAGCCTTACTAGTAGCCGCAGTGTGAGGGTTCGATTCTTGAGATATGAAATTAGATTTTTTGTGGGTACCAGTGTACATACAAGCTCTTATTTTCTGGTGATATAAGACAACTAACTTTGGAGTTTGAAGAAGTGTTGGACAGAAAATTAACAAAGAAAAATCACACCAGGGGCAATTTTGTCATTTGTCGCGACGGTGTCGGAATGAGCTAAAATTTGGCAAGTTGATTGGAAACGGCCCGAGAAATTGGACTCGGGATAACCTGAGATCTCGGGATTTTAGCCAAATCCCTTCGTTTAGGCCTCCGAATAATTAATTTTCGTATTTCCCATTCTGAATTTTCGCCATTTTTGGAACGTTTTATTTTTTCTATGTTTTAGGGTTTCTTGTAATGCCTATTTAATGACTTTTGGAACGTTTTCCATCATCATTGACTAATATATATATTTCATTCTTGGAGAATTTCAATTTTCTTATTTTCAAGATTTACGTTGGTAAATCTTTTCTTTTTTTTTTTACTTCCGTTCTGCGTCATCTGACCTACTGGGGCACATTCCAATATTTACCTCTCTTACGATGCTTCAGAGGCGAGGTGGTAGGGGCTATCAAGATTGGGGTTCAATCTTTTTTATATTATTAAAAAAAAATAATAATAAATCTGATTCTGCATCAGTGAATCTTTAAATTCTGAAAGGAAAGAAAAACAAATATTTTTTTGTTGGCATATAGTCACCTAGACAGGCAATTTAATTCTGCTCATTTTGCAGATTTTATCTGTCTCTTATCAGGCTTGTCTCTGGATCCGATCTACATAACTGGGATGATGGTGTCTTATAAGAACTTAAAATAGAAAATACTTTTAGTCAACATTTAGTGGTCAACAGCGTTGAAAAAAGTTAAAATCCCTTTGACTGTATCGAAAAAAAAAAAAAAAATTGTAATTGCATTGCAGTTCCCCGTGGAGATGAGGAATCTATTTGGGCAACATTTTCCAACAATTGTGGACTTTATTTCCTTTACTATATGCAGATGGTTGATAACATTTTCTCATTTATTTATTTACATCGTTCAATTTTATTGGATGATTTGAAAACCATACTCTCTAACTACTACATACATTATTAGATTTCTGTCAACAATAAGTAATCAGAGTTTGACTTAATCCAATTATTGAACCAAACCTAACTGCTCAAGAATTTGGTATGTAAATTCACCTACTCTCCTCTCCATTCATGAAAAGATCAGAGAATACATATACAGATGCACAAAGAGGTACTCACATGGCTAATGCAAATCGTATTGCTGGAGCAATATTCAATTACCGTTGCCTTGTGGCTCTTCCCATTGTGCTTTTGCTCATTGCTGGCATATACATGAAAGCCGCAGAAAATAAGCAGTGGATGGTAGAAGTGGAATCTCGGGCTACAAAGAATAACTCATCATCAGAATGTAACTTGTTTAGGGGCAGATGGGTATTCAATAACCAGTCCTACCCTCTTTACAAAGAGCGAAAATGCTTGTTTTTGGCAGACGAGTTTGCTTGCGAGAAGTATGGCAGGAAGGACTTGAAGTATCAGAACTGGAGGTGGCAGCCTCACCAATGTGACCTCCCAAGGTATGCACTCTGATATGAAATTTCATTGTCTTTTTGCTCGTATATGAATATAACTCTGAAATATCGGAATCTATTTGTGTAGCAAAGGTTCAACGCCACAATTTTGTTAAATAGGCTAAGGGGTAAGAGGCTTGTGTTCGTTGGCGATTCGTTGAACAGAAATCAATGGGATTCACTGGTCTGCTTGGTGGAATCATCAATTCCTTCAACATCTAAATCCAGACAGATCACTGGCAATTTGTTCACCTTCAAGGCCATTGTGAGTTCAAACTGCATTACATATGGTTGAAAACTTGAAATTGTGCTTATCTTTTGGTTTTATCCCAAAAAGTTAATCTATTGGTGATTAAACCAATTCCTTTATGAACCGAAACTATTCTCATGTCTACATTATGTGGAACTTATATTTGCACATCTCCAGTGGTGTTATTGATACACGAAATTGCTTAAGTGCAGGAATACAATGTCTCTATTGATTTCTATTGGTCCCCATTGCTAGTCGAATCAAACTCTGATGATCCGGTGAGCCATAGTTTACCGGACAGAATTGTTAGAGTTCAAGCAATAGAGAAGCATGCCAGGCATTGGACTGATGCAGATATAATCATCTTCAACACATATCTTTGGTGGCTAAGGCCTAAAATGAAGGTTCTGTAAGTGAATCCATCAAAATCCTAATCTTCAAGCAGCAATTCATGAAACAAGAAACTTTTGCTCCAAAAATTGTGATAGCATTAATTGACACAGTTTATTCTGCAAAATTTATCAGGTGGGGATCATTTGAAAGCCCAGATGGCATCTACAAGGAAATAGATATGCTAAGAAGTTATGAAATGGCTTTAAAGACATGGTCAGATTGGTTGGAAATCAATGTTAACAGAACCAGGACAAAGCTATACTTCATTAGTATGTCCCCAGCTCACCTAAGGTATGATAGATTTTTATGCATTTAAGCCACCCCATCCCTCACATAAGCATACGATTTTAGCGATTCTGATTGCCTCGTTGATAACTCGGGACTTGACTTGTGGGGTTGTAGGAACTTAGACACCTCTTGTTTATACCATTTAGAAATAGGTTATCTGGTAGCAACAATTTGTTTGAGAGCATGCACCTTTTTGGAGATGACCTCCTTGGAAAGACGACCTAAGTAGGGCGACTAGCAGTATTAACCAGATTCAAATACAAAGGTTTTCGCGAATGTTAGGTCTAAAATGAGATGTAGAATTTAATGACTGCCCTTCGTGTTGTTGTGATTTGAGCAACAATAATAATGATGAAGAATACGAAATCGACAAAGAAATAAGAACACGGATTTAAGTGATTTGGCAATGTGTCTATGTTCACAAGAGCAAAACGACTATAAATTTTATTAAAATGACTATAAATTTTATTATTTTCGGGTAATAAGGTTACATCATATAAATATTAATCCTTGCTCACACATGACTTGAAGGCCCCGTCCAAGACTTTAAGGAAAAATTAAGAAATACTCTTGTATCATAAAGTGGAAACGTTGACCTCACTCCCCTTACCTATTAAACATCCTTGGCATACACACAGTAAATTAAAGCCCGAGAGGCCGATGCCATCGCTCCGCTCTAGCACCAATCTATTTATTTTAGTAAATATGTGTTCCACTTTATGTGAATTACATATTACAACACACATATAGTCAAATATGTTAATGCTTAGCTTAGAGGTTTATAGTCAATTGAGTGACTTCGCCTTGCCAGCCCGTTTTAAGGGTCCTGACTCCTACCCAATATGATTGTAATGATCTGGCGTTTCAAAAACATGGAATACCATTTCTACTTTACAGACGATAAATATTTTATAATTTTTGTTTTTGAATACCAATCTTTGCAGATGCCAATGCTTCAAATATCACATGCCATGTAATATAATTATTTGCAGGGGTGACGAATGGGGCACGAGTGCAAATCAAAATTGCTATAAAGAAACCGAACCAATTTTCCAGAAAGGCTACTTAGAAAGTGAAACAAATCAGAAGATGATGAGAAAAGTAGACAGTGCTATTCAGGAATTAAAATCAAGAGATGTGGAGGTACAACTACTCAATATTACTCAGCTTTCAGAGTATCGAAAAGATGCTCATCCGTCTATCTACAGAAAACGAAGGGTGGCTATAACTGAAGATCAACTATTTAATCCAAGAAGTTATGCAGATTGTGCACATTGGTGCCTTCCAGGAGTGCCTGATACCTGGAACGAAATTTTGTACGCTTATATTATTCAGTACGGTGGCATGTGTCGAAACTAGCATTTAAGTGTATCCTGTTTTAACGATTTAAACTTTTAGATGGTGCGATTTAATTTAATATGAGAGCAAGCAAATGTCTCATATTAGAGTAATGAAGCTACCTATCTAAAAAAAATATGTGTATGTCAAGTCTTTGATTAAAAATGAATACAAAACCAGGCATGAGATTTTCATCTCATATGGCCCGAAGAGTAACTAGGATTTTTCACGTTTTCATGTTCTAATTTAGCACTTCTGATTTATTTTCAAAGGAGCACTTGAGGAGGCCTGGATGAAAATAACAGTTTTAAGGCTAAAAAATAAGTCAGAATCTCTATTACAATACTGTCTACTCCTGTCTATCCAGCACATTGCACCAAATATTCACTAAAGGCATTTCGAGAAAATGAACTGGGATAACTTCAATATTAAGTTTTTAGTACATAATCATTCCACTGGCTCATCATCCTCATAATAGTCTTCATTTTATATATCTTAAAATCAGTAGAGTTGAAGAAATAAAATAGTGGCTTACAGGCTTACACTATCTGGTAAGGGTAAGGGTAATATCATGCTCTTCTTCGCGAGGTAAAATGGGTCTTGACTGAAGATCTCCAAGTTTCGACTCGGTATGATCATCAACACATTTACAGTATTCTTGATCTTCGTCCATCGAAACTTGACAAGAATCTATGTTGATCGAGCTTGGCATTCCCATTGCAGGACGCTATCATTATTCACAAAACAAGAAAATCAAATTAGAATGTCTAACATTAGGACATCGATGACTTGTCCTAATGAAAATTATAGGTAAATCTGCCAATGGTATTCAGAGTCAAATTTATCGGAAATAAGATTTAATGCAAAGAGTTCAAAGAAAATGATAGACTGAAGAAGCCCACCTTCTTATAAATTGATCCATCATCCTCAACTTGCCATCCAGCCTCTTGACAAAGAGCCTTGAGAAGATCATTGCTATCTGCATGCTTTGGAAGGTTGTAGTTTCCATGAGCTCTAAGCCCTGCAAAGATTTTATGGGCCACGGACCGCCGTCGTCTCTCCCTTTGTTTATTGTTCTGCCGCTCCCTCTCTGATGGATACCGATACTTTGTCACTACGCCACCGTCTTTGGTGGCTCTACGAACCAGCCATGGCCCTTTGCTGCTCTTTATACATCCCCTAATCTCCCTACTTCTCTCTTCTACCATTACTTCTCCTCCCTTCATTCTCACCTCTTAACTGGCCTTTTGCCTTTTTTTCTCCTTCCCATATTGTCAATATATATGCTTGTGTTATGTGTATGTAATATACATTCATGATTCATGAAGACAATATGAAGACAAATCTAGACAGAGGACAAGAAGGGACGTCGTACTGTTGATTCTATTCCCCCAGCTTTTGTTTGGTGTGTGAGGGTGTGTTGTCAACACTCTATAGTTCTGTTTTTCTTTAATCTACAGTGTTCTCTAATTTGTTGCCATGCGGATTAAGGTTAGAAACAATTGCGAAATCGGGTTTTTAAGCAAAATAGAAAGAACACAAGGAGTATAAGTGGTTTGGTACTTGGCCTTCCTTCACATGGAAAAAGAAGACAAATGGAGAATACAAAGGAGTATTATGTACCGAGTCCCAAAAATTCTCCACAAAGTACTTTGAGTGATGCTATTCTTTACTTATTAAGCATCAATCAATTTATGTAACAATTACATGATATTAAATGATAGATTTATTTAAATGTAAAGTCACGCGACTGATTTAATTAAACATACAAATTGTAGTTATCTAAACTAGTGTTTTAATACAATTGATGCTAAATAGTATTATTAAATACTCTCAATAACGACAAAAGAGGCCTTTTAATTTTCGCTAGACGTAGGATTTATGTCAATCAAAAAAGTTAAATCCTATTCAGAATGAGATACATTTTGTTCATGTTTATAGATTGCTTATAAATACTCAAACCCCTTTTATATATTTTTTAGAGATGTTTAGTATTACTCACTTAGTCACCGCTCATTTCCTATATATTTATAGTCTCAATTATTTATAAACACTTGCAAAACAGGTTGACGTGAAACAATGTCACCACATCA